AAAAGTAAGCCGCGGAAAATCATGCAAAGTAAATTAAGCCAACTTTAAAAAAAACATGCAATGCTAGTAAAACGAATAAACAAATAAGTAAAGTGAGTGGGAAAGCATGCAAAACAAAGTAAGTCAAGTTAAGAAAAAAGCATGCAATGTCAGTGAAACAATAAACAAATAAATAAAAATGAGTGAAAAAACATGCAAAACGAAGTAAATCAAGTTAAGAAAAAAGCATGCAATACTGATAGAACAATAAATAAGTAAAGTGAAAAAGCATGCAAAAAAATAAGTTAAACAAAAAGGCATGCAATGTCAGTAAGAACAATAAAGAAATTAGCAAAGTGAGTGGAAAAGCATGCAAGACAAAGTAAGTCAAATTAAGGAAAGGAAACATGCAATGGACAGTAAACAAATAAGTAAAGTGAGTGGGAAAAAATGCGAAATAAAGTTTAACAAAAAGGAGAAAAAACCATACAATGTCAGCAATAATAGTAAACAGATAAGCAAGCTGAATGGAGAAGCATGCAAAACAAAGTAAGTCAAGTTAAGAAAGAAACTATGCAAAAGTGGAAACAGTAATGCAGCACATATGGACAACGTGAACGGAACAATAAGTTAATAACAAGGTATGGAAGAGATAAAGTTAAATAATATTAAATAATACAAAGTAGAGAAATAAAGAACGACTTAATTTATGACACCAAATCTGTTAATTAAAATTCATAAATGACAATATTTTTCTTCAAATATTAATAGAAGAGAAGGGAAGTTGCATAAAGTAAATTAATTAGTTATTCCAAATCCTTCAAATGAAGGGAAAAATGAAAATAGGGGAAAGAAGTCAAAGAAGCAAAGTTATTTGTACAAATGGATAAAATTAAAGAATACATAATGAGCGAAATAAAAAGAATGGTCTTTGAAATTACTTTAAAAGTCTTTGAAATTACTTCAAAAACAACAAACAATGAGAAAATGCAAATTATCATCATCAAATAAAAAATAAGCCATATTTCGAATACAATAAATAAAAGCAACAGAATATGTACAGAAAATATTACGAAATAAAACTGAAAATATTTCTTACACTTAAAATTATAAAACGATAGCTGTAATTAGTATTCTATGGACACCGATAAATAAGAAATAACAAAAAATGTCACAGAAAAATTTCGTAAATTTGAAAAATGTGATATGATAAATAAGGAAAAATAAATAAATAATAAAAACCCAATCGAATAGAAATAGTACAATAAATGCAATACAGAAATATGAAATGTAGCAAAATACAAAAATACAATGAAAATACAAATAGCATAACATACACAATGCAATACAAAAATACAAAACATAATGAAACACAAAAATACAACAAATATAATATCTAAATACAAATATACAATAAATATAACACAATAAATACAATGCAATAAGTACAGAAATTTAATAAAAATACAAACAATACAACATGCATATAATACAATAAATATAATACAATAAGTATATTAAAAATACAAAAATACAATAAAAATACAAACAATAAGCTACACAATACAATGCGAAAATACAAAATATAATAAAATACAAAAACTCAATACATGTAATGCAATAAATACAATACAAAAAGTACATTAAAAATACAAAAATACAAGCAATGCAATATACAAAATGCAATACACAAATACAGAATATAATAAAATGCAAAAATTTAATACATGCAATACAATAAATACAATATAAAAAGTACATTAAAAATACAAAAATACAATGAAAATACAAACATCACAATAAATTAATGCAATACAAAAATACAAAATGCAGTAAAACAAAAAATACGATAAATACAACACAATAAATACAATACGATATAATCAACAAAACATAAATAAATAAAGTACAAATACAGTACAAATAAAATATAAATAAAACACAAATAAATATGATACAATAAATAAATAAAATACAATAAATAATAAATAAAATGGCTACAAAAAAATACAAAAATAAAACAAAACTGAACATATATGGAATAAAACCGAACTCCTCAGTTTCATACCAAAAAAATTTTTGTAAACATTCGAACATTGGATGGCTATTAAAATTAATGCTAAAGACAAAATCAGAAAAGCATCCATAATATGTTTTATAAATTATAACAAGGTTGAAAAGAATGAAGAAAACTTCTAAAAAGAAAAAATGTTGCCATCAGTATTATTCATATCTCATATCAAATACATTAATGTGAAGAACTGAAAACATAAAAATCTATTTGATATAAAAACAAATACTGATTGATAAATAAAAAGGAAGAAAAAAACTATTAAAATATAACAATCAACCCAACAGGGAAAAATAAAAAAATCTGATAAACAACCAAAAACTATGAATGGCACATTGAAATGGATAAAAAATTTCAAATTATCTTTATAACTGAAATAATTAAAAGTGACCAAATGCAATGACTGCTAAAATTAATTTTAAAAAGAAAATCAGAAACAGGTTTTACAACATTCACGACACATATTTTACAGGATATATTGGCTCATGATGGCGTGGAGAAATCCATGTGTGTAAAAAACCGTAGTTATAAATCGGTTGTTAAATTTACAAAGCATTAATTGAAAATTAAAAAACATTGTATCAATAAATGAGCTGCTACGAATACAGCATAAATACAACCAGTAAATTAATGTTGATAATTAATAGAATCAGTACCAGACATGAAGTGAATCCATAAAAGGTTATAAATTACTAATCTATGATTACCCAAATCCGAACTTTTCAAACGCTAACAGTTATAAATCAAATGATAATTAAGGGACAAACAGAATAAAAATTTGCAAAAAATAGCACCAATAAAGTAGTTAATGACAAAAAAAAACTTATCAAAATAAAAACTAATAACTACAAAAACCTTGTAACTGTAGTCCTAAAAACCAAAAGAAACATTTAATGTAATAAAAATAAAATTATAAAAATAGTGAATTCTTCACTCTTAATTCTTAACATATAAGTGGTAAGATTATTAAGATCATAAAAAAGAAAATCAATTAAGAAGTGAAATAAACCTATCAACAATAACTATCAAAGTGGTCAAATAATATAAAGTAGTTCTAAATTTCTAAAGGGAATAAACTCTTGAATACAAAATTTAGAACAGGTCAAACATATATTTGTCTTAAACTAAACCAATTGAATAAAATTTAAGCATTTTCAGACTAAGTAATGGAAAAAAAAAAAGAAAAATGTACTACAACACTGTTAGCAAGAAGAAAACATAAGTAACAAAAGGCGAATAATTAAAAACATCGTAAGCAAAGGCAAACACAATTAAAACCGAGTTTTTCGTACTTTTTTTTGATTTTCTTGTTTTTTATTTTTTCTCTTTTTTCTTTCTCTATTTTTCAGTTTTTTTCTCTTTCTTCATTCCTCCTTTTTTTTCTCTTTTTTCCTTTTTTTTGTTTTTTCTTTTTTTAATCTTTTTCTTTTTTTCTTTTTTTACTTTTTCGTTTTTTCTTTTTTCTTTTTTCTTTATTTTTTTTATTATTTTTGTTCTTTTTTTTTTTAACTTTTTTTCATTTTTTTCTTTTTTTTTTATTTTTTTCTTTTTTCTTTTTTTTTCTTTTTTTTTTTAAATTACATTAGAGAACGAAACAAAATTAGAAAACGTTAAGTTACAAAACCAAAAACAATGCGAAACAAGCTAATACTAAGAGTTCTATCCGAAACCAGTATTATCAGAGTTCAGTCCTATAGTGGTTCTATAGAAAGTCATGCAGTCATATAACGGTTACCAAACAACCGGAA